ACTGTCAAAGATTAAAGAACACTGCTCATTTAATACCTATATAGTTAGTATAAATAATAATAGACAAATTATCTTCATCTAATTGACAGACAAATTTCAAATGACACAAAAAAGCTAAAAAAATCAATAACTGTGAAGGGTTTATTACAAAAGGTACAAGTTTTAAAGTAGATTTTTTAATTGCACAGTTTAAAGTAAAAGTTAAAGGAACGCAAGTAAAATTTATCTATGACAAATTTATAATACTAGGAAACTGGGAAAGTAAGAATTTAATAATCTTTTAACATTTTTGTCACTAAAACTACTTACTCTTTGAAATGGCCGCAAAAACTACAATGTACATGTATTATATTATGAGCAGACAGAGCCTGGAGTTGTGATTTGCGTGAACATTTACAATTTACAAAATAAAAACATAGAAAATGTCTTCCTACGTCGATGGGACCCGCTTCGTGCAATGCCAGGAACTATTTAAGTAATCTAATTTGTTATGAAAAGTTTCCAAGTTTCGAGAAAATTACGTACATTTATCAAATAATTGGGTTAAAGTTGAACGAAGCGGTAACAAGAAGGGACAATAAATGTCGACAAATAGAAAACAAACGCTTATATTTAAATAACTAATTTTTATATAAAACTAGCTGTTGCCCGCGACTTCTTCATGCAATATTAAGATAATAAAAAGCCTATAATATGCTCGTCTATGTCAGCTACCCTTCGAGATAGTCCGGTCGAAATCGGTTCAGCCGTTTGGGAGTTTACTCGGAACAAACGAAGTTTGCGGACAGATAGACAAACAGACAGACAGACAGACCAAAAATGTTTAAATGCGATTTTCGTTCTAGAAATGTGGAGTTTTCCTTTGATATTACAAACACACACTACAATTTTATTATATGTATAGAAGATTGTTTTATAATCGTATGTAACTATCTTCTGTCCCATGTCATGGAACCTGTAGCAAAATGTTCCTAGTGTTCCTAGTGGTGGTTAACAGCCAACACTTTTAAGTCACTTTGAAACCTAAGCTCTCATTTTCAAGCAATGGCCTACCTATTTATACAGATTAGTGGTCTAGACGTAGGTGACGTACTTAGGCTTAGGATTAAATTCATCAACAAAGTACTTATAGGGCAAACGGTACAAAACATGTTCAGTTTATGTCATGACTTTATATGACTAATTATTACACGGAAGGGAATTTAAATGCATACAAGAATGACTGATGGATTAAATAACATAAATTGATAGATATATGTGACTTGCTACCTTGTACGTCGTGTGTGGATAAAACAATTTTTATTTAACGATATTCCGATGTTTGATGTACTGATGAATATATTAAATTTACTGATTGTTTTCTCTCAATCAAGTAAAGTCATGTCGAATGAAATTCACTATATGTTGACGGGAACAAACATTATTGTTTTCGTCGTAACCCATACGAAGATAAAATATACTAATAAACACAAGTAAGGTTTGAATATACAAGATTCTTTCCAAAAATAATTTAATAAGTAAAGAGAAAATGCACTAATTGGGTATTAGCACATGTTAGTTTCATACGACGCCAGAGTAGTAGAAAATTAATTAGTACTGAAAACACACGCCAAAACAGAAAAACATTGCATTATGTACTTTGTCTTGCTGTTCTACCCTCGTGTAAAACTAGCATTAGTATGTAACATATCGTGTATTGCGGAAAACATAAACATATTTCTATTACAAAATAGCATTCAACAAGTGTGCAAATTGAATCGAGTTCAAGCCCAGCTAGTGTAGGAATAACAGGTCCTGTCACAATAACCTAGTCATTGAAAATATATGTTAGACTCCGTCACAATGGGAAGCACTTGACGAAATCTTACATTTTATAAATAGTCTTTATAAGTTCAGTTCTTATTATATTTGTTATAGTTCTTACAAGTAAAAAACTAAAAAACAAACTATAACAAATAATTGTAATGTCCAAGTTATGTAACTCATTAATTCACAATCACAACAAGTTAAATAAGTCTACGCCTTGTAACATATTACTTTTATTATTCTTTTTAAAATTTTTTCGAATACATCAAAACTTTTTTCTTTTCTCATTCAGAATACGCAAAAATGCAGACAATTGGTCTCATTTTATAGAAATTCGCGAACGCCGACGCGAACGCTGCGGTGTCGAATACACTATAGGCGTTATTTGAACTGTCTCTTTTACAAAAGGGACAATGAATAAGGAAATTGTTTATTTAGTGCTTTTTTCTTGCACTGCTATAAGAGCTCACTTTTAAAACCGTTCCATTTCAGTATAAACATTTTGAAATACGTTTTAAAAATATTTCGAATATAAATAATTTACTAATTTATTACTTGTAGTATATTTCGTAGTATATTTCGTAGTATATTTTTGATCATAACATTCTTCATGTAGTTAGTATAAAATAAAGTGTGCTTCAATACAAATTTAAAAAGCCCCCCAATAACAACGCGCCACTATGATCGTCTAAATATTTTCATCGGCAAACCTTGGAATTGTTTGTCCACTTAAACTAAGTACTGCAAGGCTCTTTGAGATTATCATTACTTTAGTGTAACTATTCGAAGAATGGTATGACTAATCTACATTGAATATAAATGTAGTCCCTTGAAACCCTAAATAAGAAAAAAATACAAAATTAATAAAAGTATTTGCTTTGGCTCGCAACTATACTACTACCAACGCGCGGAATTGACAAAACAAGTCATCTAAGTAAATGAAAATTTTCAAAATAGGAAACAACATCTTGTGACGTCACGGCTTCCGATTGGCGGAAAAAGATAGCGTCATGTTGCAATGCGTCCTCTGATTGGCAGAGCGAATTGCGCGCGTCTATGACAATTATACTCGGTACTGTGCCCGCCAGTTTTAAGTGCAGTGCCGATGCGCGCCAATTCGAAAGCCGATACCGAATCAAATCCCCTAAGATACTTGCCTAGGAGGTTAACCAAATTCAACGAAAACTTTTAGGTAAAGTTTGTTATTATGTACATTGTAAACCTTGTAATTGACATTTTTTACACTATCTAATGATAAAAAGATACTACCAATGTTTTGTTAAACCGAATTTATAAGACTTTTTACTTTTAAGATTTTGTCTTGTTTTTACTTTTACGATAAGTAACTATTTCACTTTTAAACTAAGCTGGTTTAAAGAAGAGAACAGTATTATCAATTACTCTCTACTGATGTGGTTATAAAAACGACCGTAAATTAATAAGACCTCTGTTCAATTTGATCATCAAACAAATTTATATTTAAAATTATATGAGCTCTGGGCACCGCAATAAATCTTTATTTTGACATGGCAGCCAACAAATGAACTATGTAAGCGATGAAATAATTGAAACTGGCAAAAGTCATCATAATAAAATAGTTACTGCGAAAACCATTACTGTTTTAATGGCTTTAACGAATGATCTTCAAATTGAAACGGTCTCTGTTGAGATAACGCTACAAATATAACTATTGAACAATTTCCACAGATGTATGGAACAGCGGTATGCTGTGCTGACCTTTCGTAGGGACAAGGGCAGGTTGATAATGAAGTTAGAGGTACTAACATGGAGCAAAAAAAGATTCTATGAACACGTTAATCTCATGACCTATTTATATATAAGATTTGTTAAATTCTTAACAGACTACAAATTTTTAATAGCTTTATTGTTACGGAAGGTTTTTAGCATGATACATCTCTCTAAGCTCCTTTGGAGGCCGGCAGGAATTCGCTTAGCACTTAAGATTACGTGGGCGAACAGTTTGAGGTAATTGATTCGTTTAATGTTATAATTATTGTGGTGCTTGAATTTCGGATTGCCACAGATCTACTCGACATTCCAACAGTAAATGCAATACAGACATATGTATGTTACAGCTAATGTAACCACTAACCATTGTAAATTGTCAAGCTCATTGAAATATTTTTGGATAACAATTAAAATTGTATTACAAATTGGTTGGTTAAAATGAATCTTCTCTGTCAGTACTGTAACACTTGTACGGATTTGGTTTTTAAGTTATTATAAAATTAATAAGGTACTTAGAATAGAGTAAAATTAAAATATCCAATTCTAAAAGTAAGTAATATTGACTACCTATCAACTTATTGATTTGTAATTAGTTATTATTAAAAATTATGTTTTTTTTAAAATCCTTATCACAAGTATGATAAAATCAGAAAAAAGACAAAAGATAGTTGGCTTGTAGTAGTTGTATACGAATTAAAAAAAAAAACTAAATCATAATGATCAATTCCATTTTAAATAATAATAAAAGCAACCATATGGTTACCCTAGTCCAGCTATGATTGCTGTTTTAACTTCCCAGTTCTCGAATCCAAACCCGATCAGTGTCCACTCAACGCTAAAATTAATGGCTCTACTGGTCCTTAGAGAGTTTGCAATGAACGGACGTTTTGATTGCTCACTCTGTACACAACGTTTGCTTGACTGCTTGCCAATTAGTTGCACATACACGAGATCTTAGAATTTACTGCAATATGCGTATCAACACAAATGTACAAAACATTTTCAAAATATATTTAACAGCTTTTAGCAGTTCTATATCATAAAAAAGATTCTTCATTCATTTTAAATTGAATCGACGTTGCAAATTGTATTAAATACAATCCAACTATTGCTAAATTTAATGCTATCGTATTACCAGGAGAACAATCGTCTATTTACAATAGAAGGAAATGCCGTGCTAAATACGCCACTCAATATGTCTTATCGTGATCCGTTTAGAATTAATAGTAAATTAAACCTAAGGGAATTTGATTCTTGCTAAAAAGTTAAACAAGACGATGACAAAATGTCTTTGCGTGATGCGTGTTAGATTAAAAATAATGAACAAGGAAGCCTGCTTTTTGAGATTTATAACTTGTAACGTTAGATGTGTCTTGTAGGCGTATTTACTCTGTTTAGCAGAGGCTTGTGACTATTGAGGAATAGACCGTAGTCAATAGACCTACCTGCTGGGCAGTCCGCTTCGTCCGTACCATCGTCGCAGTCCTGATGGCGGTCGCAGCGTTGCCTCAGGTGGACGCATCGCGTGTTGTCACATCGGAGCTCATACGCCGCACACACTGTATCAAACACAAGGTTTTCATTATGTAGGTTCAGTTCTTTCTCTCAAATTCACCTCTCCTTCCGATCGTTTATGAAAAAAGTGAAAAAAGTAAAGAATTAAAATTTGGCCTCCGTTATGCACACTTATCATACTTAAAGTGGTATACCATGTTATGTCTTGTGGTTGAGGTATTATGGTGGCGGAAAACATCGTGATGCAAACAGCACATAACAGCGAAGATTTTCATAGATATGTGTGAAATCAACCAGCCCGCACTGGGTCAGCGTGGTTTACTATAGCCTAATCACTCCTTACATAGGGTAGGCTCAGAGCCCCTTAGTGGGGACGCAAACGGAGATGGTGATGCTAGAGGTATTGCACCGGGACAGGTCTTTTATGCGCCAGCTAACGTTGCTGCAGACTGTACAATTATTAAATATCTCGTTGCGTGTATCTAAGGGTTACAATAGTTTGGTTGTCAATACAACTTCACAATTGACACAAAAAGTATAATAGTTTCTTTTATTTCTAGATCTAACTTAAGTCTAAATCATAAACATAACAAATGTTTTAAATTCCGTGTATTTACTTAATAAAAGTTACACAGTTTAGTGCCTCAATTATGCTTTAAATAGGTAATTAGGGAACACCTTAGCATAGAACCAGATACTTTTTAATTAAGTTTAGTAGAAAACACTTATTTACTAAAATTTTATGTAATGTTCTAAATCGTCTCTAGGCTTTGACAATACGATCCCTCGACCACGATGATGGAATCTTCGTATCCTTAACCATTTAGCTGTCGGATTTCTTGTGCACTGAGCGAGTCAGTTACAGCACAAATAGATAAATATTTCTTACATAAAAATACGTTATAATGCAATAGTCGATAACAGATTTTTTTACTACAAGAAACTTTATAATAGCCGGAATACGCCATGAGAAGAATACTACTAAGTAATACAATTTATTTAGTAGTAATTTAGTTCATTGGTGAGAGAAAAATTGCTGGAATCCCATATTTTTTCCAATAGAATGTATATTCTAAAAAAATTAGAAGAAAAATGGAAGAATTCGATTTCCCAAAAAGAATAGATAAGAATGATTATGGAATAATGAATAGCATGAAGTTATGGCACTTGAAGCACGATAGGACAAAAAAAATAAAAAAAAATATTTACAATTATTTTCGTATGTAGTTGTTTCCGGTACAAGTTCATTTTCTGTTTCACTTGAGGTGGTATCGTCACCCTCATCGCCATCCCCGCCTAGATTATAAAAAAAAACTACGATCACCTGTTAACTTAATTTTTCTTTAGTTCTTGTTAATCCAACTCCCATTTTAGATGACTACGTTAAAAAAAAACATATTTACGTTCTAAGCGAGGTGTAGTTGTCTCTGGAATTAAATTTTTTCCTCCGTTCGTTGCAACGCTCAACGTATTAAGTCCTGAACAAAAGAATTAAAAAAAAAAAAATCAAATAAAATGACGATATTTTTATCATTTAACAAATTGGTTAACAAAACATCAAAAAATTTTTTAAAACGAGAAATTATAAAAAAAAATAAAAAAAATAATGCTGAATTGAAATCACCATTATCTGGTATCCTTTGACTTTCTGTCGTCGTCGAAGTCTGTTGGTCGACTTCATTGGTCTGTTCTTCGTCTTTAGAATCTAGTAAACATTAAATAAAAAAATAAAAAAAATAAAACAGAAGTAAAATCTAAAATTGAGATTTTAAAAAGAAAAAGTATTATAAAAATGAAGTAAACCCTCTATTACCAATTACTTTCCAATAGGAAATTTTCCTGGGTCCCTGTTCAATGCGATGCAATTCTCATTAATTAAATAATAAAAAAATTAAAAATAAAATCAAACATAAAAAAAACCTTGATTTTGGCATGAAGCTTCGTCACTGCCGTCGGGACAGTCCCGGGCACCGTCACACCAAGCCCAGCCAGCAATACAATGATTATCGTCACACTTATTCTCGTCAGCAGCACACTCCAGATTGGTGGTTCCTAAGTAATACAACAAACGCAGTGTATTTTACAATTCTGCATAATCTCAAGAACTTGAAATCTCGGGGGACATTGCCACAAACAATGATCAATTAGTTACAGTAGTTAACTGGAAAGGTCGAAGGAAGAGGCTATGCATCAATGCATTTGATGAACAAATTTTCTCTATACTCGTATAAGACTCCATCGCCTAAATCAAAGAAGGAACAAAATGTGATAGGGTATTATCTTTTTAAAGTCAGGGGAGATGGTGGTCATGTCTCTAAATGAGCAGTACGATTAGAAGATCATTTCTACGAGTATGTTCTTCTCCGTATTATACATTAATAACTAAGAATTGACACCACCCTATCTGGTCTAAGCATTTTTGTATCCTTAACGTATCATGGGTTACATTGGCACATTGTACAAAGCTGTTCTATAAGTTTTTGCTTCATTAGACATGTTATTCTCATTTATTAATACAAAAAAAAATCTATCGCCTCTAAAACCGAATGAGGCATATACTATAAACATACATTTTTGTTAACAATACGTATGCTTCATCATAAAACCAACAATTGGTAATAATAAATATGGAACTATCCTATTGAAATTTGAAAGCTGCATCCAACTGATGTAATACAAACCTGGGTCTGAAAAATCGGTGGATACGAATTCGTTTTCGTTTATTGTGAAGACACCAAGTTGTCTTCTTCGCCTGATGTGATCTTGAAGGATCCTCGCCAATTCCTTGGTATCATCGAACCCAGATGTTGTGATATCCATGGTCACTTTGCACGAAAACTCGTCTGATAACCTCGACCTGAAAAACAAGATTAGAGTGTTAAGCCAGTTTAATGACAATTAAATATGAAATAAAAAGTATGCATCACGATCTCGTGATGAACAAAATCACTATTCGGGCATCTGCCCGGATGGCGTTTCAGTAAAATTTCTGACTATCACAAACCTTTGAATTTTTGCACAAAATAATATCGACTTCGAATTAAAAGTGCACTTCATGTTGATAAGGTTTCTTTGGCATAATAAAATTATTTTTACTACTAGCCCACTAGATGATCAACCTGCCCCCCCCCTCATTGATCATCGGCTAGCGAATCCCAGGCGTCTTTGTTACTTGGCAGATCAGGGATTTTCTTTTTACTTATTCGTCCTCTATTTCTGATTTCGTTGAGATATCGTTCAATAGTAAGTAAGCGTATGAGAAAATATGCTGTTCTGACCTCACTAACTAACGACAGAAAAGTGGCAGAAAATGATGACGAAAATCAACATCATTATCTACTACTTTTCTTTATGTAATATAGATAATTCTTCCATAATCAGGGGATTATGGAAGAATTAGTAGTAAAAATTAATCCAAACAATTGATAGAGATCAATCGTCATGTTTGATTTGGTGCTTCTAATGTCTTTTTTCACAGCAGTCATCTATTCTTTATTTGGTCTTCTAATATTTTAATTAACTTAGATGCTATAGACAATGTAATGCAGAATTGAAATACTCACTGTATTCTGACGAGACTAGCTCTTTGAGTTCCGGGAACTTTATCGAACAGGCTGTTGACAGCGTCTGCGAGTCCTATTGAGATATTCTGGAACTGCTCCGAGTTTCTGTTGTAATATTCGATCTGGAAGGGCTCCATCACCACGAAAGTAACTCGGAGTGTCTCTGCAAGTTAACGATATTTGGCTTAAGTTATTTAGTGAAAGTTAAAGCTGACGTGGTGGAGTTTTGGCATCTGTAATATTTATTTAGTGATTTTTGCACCAGATTTGAAAATATATCTAAATGTGTTTTTTTTTTAATATCTGGCTTAATAAATGCCTAAGATAACCTTCATCGTAGATATGTATATTTATAATAACTAAATAAAAATCAAGTACTTAAATTTTTAGTTTCGAATTTTTCACATTGCTGACATGGATATAAAACACGAAAAGACTAGTTTTCTCAATTTTTAGCAAAAATGTCCATCCCGCTTTCTCACATATTCTATCTTTTTGCCAAGCCACAATCTTATAAAAGTTCTAATACTTACTTTCCCTGCTATCAGGATCTCTCCTGAAAGTTCCGGAACCTTCGATTGGAGTTTCCTCATCATCGACATCGTTCCTGTAACAAAAAAAAGCAGTTTTAATAACATCAATTGAATACTCACATACTTCACTTTAGGTGATTATTATTGTATTCTGTTATTTAAGAAATAGGATTGTTCTAAATAATTTGATGTTGGCCTCATAAAAGTGGAACAGGTACATGTTTCATATTAACTATAAGACACGTAAAATATTACACGAATATAAAGAACTTACTCGTTTTCATCGAACTGATCGGATGTAGCTGATTCGTACTCCGTTGGATCCTCAGTTGTATCGCCGTATGAAGCTGGAAATTTTAACAGTTTCTCATTAGTACATCTCATAATTACATACGCTCAATTCTAACTGACAGTTAATTTTACTAAAGTTATAATTGTCATGGGTTGTGGTGGGTATCATAATCAATGTAATATTATAGACGTGAGAGTTTAGCTAGATGTATGGATGGATGTTTGTTAGAGTTTGTAGCCTAGGCTGCTGAACCAATGCGATGAAATTTGGCATAAGTGTAGAGGATTGTCTAGAAGAACACATAGGCTACTTCCTTTTTTTATTTTTATTTCACGGTACCGGAGTCGCGGGCGAAATCTAGTACAAAATAATGGCATGGTATATCATTAACATTTTTCGAAGGAGACTAAAATAAGTCTTGACTATTATTTCATCAATTTTACGTGTTTATTTTAAACTTGTGTATTTAAATTTGTTAAGATGTTCCGGAGTTGTGTTTCTGTTCATCGATACATTCGTTGCAAGACCAAAGGAAAGGTTACTTACGAAACAGCTGTCTCTTCAAGCGTCGCAAATGACTGATGAGTCCCGACTCCGGTTCTTTAACCTCTAGGAACTCGTTTAAGGAATCATCTTCATCCTCCCAATATATGTCTCCTGCTGTTGCAGTCTGAAAAGAATATTAATACAAAATTAATATTAATATGAATTAACTCAATTGTGACGTTTTGGTCACGATGACGGACATTTTATAGGTGTTGTCTGAACACAATAACATTACAATCAAATCTATAAATGAATAGAAGGAAAAAAAAACAAGCATTTATTTTCATACAGAAAGTTTAACGCAACTTTGATACATGTCTATTAGCAATATCTCTTCTAAAAATTACTTAATTTTAATAAACCAAAAAACGCAAAAATCTCTAGAAAATCTTGGTGTATAAAAATGCCCGAAAGACTTTCGATGTGTTGCTTTAATTTATTTCCTATTTTGGATACCGTGAAAACGACGTAGACATCTTCACAAGAAGAAGGAGTGGTTAGTAGTGTCAGTGATTAAGCAAATTTGGATGACATCTCATAATGGAAAAATAGCATTGTTGATACTCGGTAGATTTTGTTAAAAAATTCAGTCCACTGTGAAAACTGTGCAAGTTATCTTTTAATGTTTATCCCATATTTTGTCATGGTGATTTAGCACATTACTAAGTTGTATAAAGGTCAACGGCAGATTTGGCTCCGCTGACTTCAGGAATAGGCACTTATCAATGTTTGTGGATTGGTCGGCTTAGGTCCCGCCCCGCCTTAATAACGATCCCGATTTGCCGGCCCCTTCGCCTTCTTACTATAAATTTCCAGCTTTTATTCAACTTGAAAGTATACAAAAACATTTAAATATATATTAGTACTAAGCTTCTAATCTATTTCAGTATGTGCAATGATATTTCTTTGTTTTATGTATAAACTAGCAGTTACCGACTTCGTCCGCACGGTATTAAGAACTTAGGGAAACAAAAATCTATTGATCCCTCGGTAACCTGATATTTTTTAGGGATGAATTGTATCACATATGTTAACCATTTTTTTGTTTTAAATCTGTGCCTAATTTCAATAAGATATGTCGAGCCGTTGCAGTATTATCGAGTATCATTACATAGATAAAATGAACCACAATGTATAGTTTTAAACGGTTATAATTCAGATTTCACGTAAAGTCCATCGCTAAGGTAACAGATCACGATTCATAAATAAATCGTTGGACAACGGGGCAATTAGAGTGTGGGGAGACGGGTGCTTGGAAGATTTCTTGGCAATTTCGTATAGTCCAACATGATCCCCACCCGGGTGAGAAGAACGCGCCGCGCAAGTTAACTACCACAAGGGTTGGCAAGCGTTAATTTCAAATTTATAAGAAACTTATAGAACAAAATTTGATATATCGAGCATATTTGAAATGACTAATGTCTTAGTAAGATTATGCTAATACCATATTATTTAAGTTTTGCAAATAACATGTGCTAAAATTTACTTAATAATATTTTTCATTAAACGTCAACATCAAAAAAAAAAAAACAAACGTTTAAGATTTACAGATCAATTAGGTTAACAATCGTCTTTACATACGATTGTCCCCGTTCGTTAATTGATAAGCAACGACTTTTATACATTTACATCAGTAAATAACTGTCCTAAACAGATATTCATTATTATGCACAAAGTGTCGGATCTTAAATGGTACAATTTAAAGATTGTGTTACTCTAAACAATCGTTTGACCCACAATGCGATTGGCCTGATTCTGACAAATTCTTGTTACCAATAATCATAAACCTAGTAAGAATTTGGTACTCTTGTGCGTTGCATTTGAGATTATTCATTATTATAGTTAGACTAGTTTAACGATTAATTCGATCTATCTTTGATATATAGTTTTTAATAAGGTGGTGTACTTATTCTAAGTGTAAATCTCTTTTGATGTTACAAATCATCATCTTCCTAGCCTTATCCTATTTCCTTCTACATCCCAATCATCAATTACAGAATTATGTAAATAATACAAAAGAGTAAAAAGTTGTTTAAATGTATTATTACACTTGTCGAAAACATCTCGGCTAAGAAAACATTGTTGCCAAGTTGCTTATGCCATAAGCAAGCGGGACGCGTGATGTTTGCGCCATGTCGAAATCTTAAACTGTAATGAGAATTTAAAATACGTCCGCTCCCTAAATAACATTACGACCGTAACAGAAACATTTACAAATTAAATGTACAATATTAAACATTTAAAATTTGCTAACTGAACCTGTGACACTGAGAATGAATAAACAAAGACGTCAAAATAATCCATTTTGTAAAATGCTTTATCTATACTACTAATATTGAAATTATAAAGAGGAAAACTTTGTATTTCTGTATGTATTGAAATAACTCAAAAACCACTGGACTGATTTACAAAAAACTCTTTCACCATTAGAAAGGAAATTTATCTGTAAGTAACATAGGCTATATTTTAATATTACTTATATTGAGGAACTATTAATATACAGTGTATTTCTGGACCAGGGAGTTAAAAAATCACAATGCTTTAGCTTTTCTCGGCTTCTGTTGCCTAAACAGTTAAAGGTATACAAAAATGACTTATGAAGGAATTGTAGGCCTTAAAAAGGTGTACAGAAAAGTCTGGGATAGTATATATCTATCTTTAACGGTTTTCTTACAATGACCATTTTTTTATTTACAAAATGAATTAAAAACCGAAAGCAATTTGCGGCGTTCTTTAATTGGTTTCAATCTTAATCTTTATCCAATTAAATGCGTTTGTTTTCAGGAGAATTTAATTTAGAATAAAATTGTCTGTTACAGTATTTTAATTAGACTAATAGTTTAGAAGGTATCGCGAACACAAACAATAAGGGTAACCGAAAAACAGCTCACAAGCTTCTAGGCTTAGAAATTTAAAATCTGGCATCAGTAGTACTGTTATTACTGTTATTACGTAGATTACTACCAAGTTAATACTTTAGGTGATAGGTTTAAAAAAGGGGCAAACGTAAGTTTTGAACACATAAGCTCATATGAATCAAAGTGCGACGAAACAGTTGTGCGATAGTTCTGTCAAAGGTGTGCGCACGCTCTTAATGATACCTTGCGGCCTAATCTGCGATACCTGATGGAATCAAATGTATTGTTGCTAAAGATGTAGTCCACTTTACATGAACTATAGTACTATTCAGTCCTAAGATCAAAACAAAACCATTCATTCTATAAATTGATCGATTCGATCTATTTAATGAATCCGCTTATGTACATACTCGTAGATTTAAGTAAGGCTGGAAATCCTCACGAGTTGTATAAAGGAGATGCTCAAAAGAAAATCTATGATACAACTAAGCGCGAAAGGTGGTTCTGTTTTAGTTCTTTGAATTTATTTCAGTTTTATACAGACGAAACTACATATAATATTTTATAAACAAATGACTGATCCACAAAGGACTATCGACTATATTAATAGTTTGTTCTTTTAATATTAATACATTGTATTTAGTACAAAAAATATTACAAAACTGAATTGCAGACGCGTCCTTTCTAGTAATTTATTGCACAAACATTATAAAACCAATCAAGGTATATCTGACGATTTCAATAAATCCCACTATACCGTCAACATTAACTGAAGCTTTACAAAGAACAGCTGTTAATGTTTTTACGGTAACATTATAAGTTACCGTAAAAGGTTTAACCGCGACCCCGCGGTAAAAGTAGTCCCGCGATCGCTTTGGATGCTTTTACATCATTATTGTCTATTGTAATTGACGCTCCACCTTTCTAATTGTCTTCTTAATTACTATTATAATGTTTGTTATAATTTCGAAAATTTGAATCGGGAGATTAACTTTCATAACTAAACAGTTTTCCACGTTGAATTAAATTTGAACTACATTGATTAAAATTATTAATTTGAAGTTCCGTAGATAAACAAAAAAGGTAGAAGATCGAATACTGATTTCAGCAGTTAGCATTATTTTCTAAAATTAAGCAACGCATGTTAGTTTCCAGGTTAAACATAACCGTAGAATTCCATTGCCATGAAGCTTGTACAAATGTAAAGGATGACAATAATGTATTGACAGTGTTACTGCTATGGAACTCTGCTGTTAGATTCACAAATAAGACGAACGCAGCGGCTAACAAGTGGGGTAGTAGGGCGAAGGGCGACTTGTTCAGATGTCAGACTCGAGCGCCCTACACGCTGTCTACACATCCGCGCTTGCAAACTTAAGGGATCCCAATTAGATTATTCGTACCTATAGCCCTACTTTACTTAGCCTGTAAGGCTTTGGTTAATAAAGCTTTGGCTTGTCTATTCTAAATTTGGTAGATAATTTAAGTCGAATTCGATGTATCGAATGAGTTTAAGAAGAATAAACGATATCGTAATAATAGTTCTAATCAGAGATGACTATAATTCAAAGATAGCTTAGCTACATTTTTACCATATTTGGCCTTATGTGACTAGTGGTGATCTCAGCGTTTCTATAATTAACATTTTTGCATAACTTTTAGAAAAAAACGCCAACTGGTATCTCACGGAAACTAAACTGACCAGCATTCTCGATTGTTTTTTTCTGGAAGCGATTAAATTACTGATTTTTTTGGAAGAATTAAGCACCACTCTACTTATAAATAACTTTTGTCTGTCACAAGAAAAATTAATCGAATAATATAAAGTACCTATTCATATAAACTGAAATAAAATCGTTTACCCAATTTAAACAGTAGGATAAATAAATTGTTGGTGTTTTTTCTACAAAAGTCTTGTAACCTTTGTTAAAAAAAAATATATTAAGTTTGTGAATGCTTGTAAAATATAGAGATACGTTGTTAGACAGGAAATTATTATCAATACTTGTAAATAAGTAACGCAAATAAAACTACATGTTTCCTGCCCGTATCCCAGACCTTGAAGATACGATGCCCAAAATCTATTAATAATATTGATATTGTACCCACACGGAATAAAGATAGCGTTGATAAATAGGGCAAGTCATCACTAAATATACTATCAATGTCATGACATTTAACAAAAAAACTGTTATAACTTACTGCAGCAAACATAATGTAGATATGACTTAAGTTAACTGTATACTTTTAGACTGAAAATGTTTAA